CAGCAGCTGGGGAGCTTCGTGGTGCTCTCAGGAGGAAACCACTCCAGCCTTGGGGAACAGCTAGACCCTTCCGAGCCACCTCCCACCCCGGACTTCTGCAGGGGCTACTTTGACGTGATGGGGCAGTGGGACCCCCCCTTTAACTGCAGCTCGGGGGAGTTCATCTTCTGCTGTGGCACTTGTGGCTTCAGGTTTTGCTGCAAGTTCAAGAAGACGAGGCTGGATCAAAGCACCTGCACAAACTATGAGACGCCGTTGTGGATGAACACTGGGAAGCCTCCTTCCCGCATAGATGACCCTCTGCACGACCCTACCAGGGATAAAACCAACCTCATTGTCTACATCATCTGCGGGGTTGTGGCAGTCATGGTGCTGGTGGGGATCTTCACCAAACTGGGGCTGGAGAAGGCGCACAGACCCCAGCGGGAGCACATGTCCAGGTAAGGCTGAGTGCCAGGCAGGAGGGTCCCCTTCCCCCCTACCTCCCCTCCCTACCCCTAAAGAGGAGAGAGGAGCCCATGTGTTCTGCTAAACAAACAACTCCTGCCGGGCAGGCTGCATTCCCCTGCAAGGCAACCGAGAGAGACCAACTTTGGCAAGCAGAGCTCCTGTGGTTCTCCAAGCCCAGGTTATCAAAGTACATGCATGCTGAGGAAGACTAGAAATAATTGTGGAGCCTGCACAGACAGTAGTCCACTTTCATCTGCAGTGTCTGACCCTCTCTCCAACAAGATCCAGCAAGTGTTCATGGTTATACTGTGCATGAACAGGAAAACAAAAAAAAATCTGAAACCAGCAACACTGAATTATAGAAAGCCTGGTGGGTTCCCTCTTCCAACTGTTTTAAAGCTTGGAAAATGTTTTTACTTCTGAACAGAAGGAAGTAAACAAATGTCATCTCACCCTCCCTCTCCAGCTGCAAAATGGTTTTGGCAGGACCTTCACTACTCCCCCAACCCTTGCAAGTGTGTGAGCTATTTGTAAAATTTCTAAGCTGTGAAAATGAGCCAGGGTGGAAGGGAAGAGGGAGACACAAAAAGGAAAAGCTATTGTAGAATTTCTTAACGTTTTTTCAGTTACAGTTGAGAGGTAAAAAATGGAATATGAAAGTCTTGTCTCATCCATATATGTGTGTGTTATACTCTGTATCCACAGTGTAATGGCTGAGTTATATCAAAGAGAACCTCCCCCACCTAGACTTAGGCATGCTGTGTACCATCTACTCCAGATACTGGCTGCCTAGTGGTGGATAGGTGGGTGGGCAACTCAGGACAGAGCCCAATGGCTTTAACAACATATTCCAAACCCAGATTGTCACAGCAGTTCAAAGTCAAGGCATAATATATTTGTCAAGTTTGCAGTCTGTCTGATTCTTTATGCTAATCCCAGGCACGTGAAAGTAAAGTAGATGGGGGAAAGTCATTAAAAAAGGCAAATAGCTCCATTAAAGAGTCTAAACAGATTCCAGCATATTGGGGAACTTTAGTGATGAAATGCAATTAAAAGGATACCTTCTACTGGACATTCCGTGTGGCAGAAAGCTTCCTCTTGCTCTGACTGGTAATGGTGTAGTTCACAATCTTTAAAGCTTAGATGAAGCGTTATCCTTTGAAAGATAGTCCAAGGGATCAACTTAGCACCTGGAGCTTTATTTTTTACTGAAGTTTCTGCATGATTTTTTGATTAACTGATTATCCTGAAATGAACAGAGAAAGCCACAAAAATACTCCTGCAAATGCATCACCACTTCACTAGCAATTATTTGCTATTTACAAACTGGCTGTTATGGATACGCTTTTACTACCGAGGAACAAAGCACATTGCAGAAATTTTAGTCAACTTAACAGTGTGTGTCAGTGATACTTCTGCAAATATGGTTTTTGTTGAGCAAGGTATAATAATCCTTTAGACATTTTGAATATTCTCAATTACTAAATTGAGAAAAAGAATACATGGGTCCCAATTTCTTTTTTAAATCTTACTCTTAAACTACAGAGCTTGTTTGGGTAAAGCTCTCCCTTGCTTCAGCCTCTTTCTGTACTGTCTTCATGCAGGCAAAAAGGCAGGGCTTATAACAGTTACAAAAACCAGGACAGCATGAAGTTGTGGCCATCCCTGCTTATAGATGGCTTGAATAGGTCCTATTTCTACTAGTAGAAATATTTGCTATCTAAAGGATAGGTGCGAAGTATTCTGAAAGGGTATTCTGTCTTAGTTTATGGAAATAGAATTACAGGGGATTGGAAAATCATTCTGAAATCCTTCAGTCATGTATGCTCAAAGATTAGGTTTCTGAAGTGGTTCTTGGAAAAGGTCATCTGTTACCCGATTACTTAACAGTGTCTGAGATCTTGTACTTTCCTTGCCATGAAAATGTTCAAGTCAGGATTATAGAGAAACTTGGAAAGTCATGATCACATGGAAAAACAGTCGCCCACTCAGTACACATAATAGCTAGTCATGTTCTGAAAAAGCAGCACTACAGCTTTTTTTTTTTTTTTAAAAAAAAAGTTCTCACACTCCTGTTACGGCTGTGGGGTGGGCTTACCATTAATTTGAAAAGGAATTAGATTTGTAAATCCCTTCAGCCATCTAAAAATCTGTTAATTGAGTGAAGAACTGAAGTAACCTTTTTGTCCTCAAATGTGTGTTTAACTAAAATAACCCATCCTAGCTCATTTTACACTACTAATGTTCTGAAAAAAGGCTGCAATGCTTAAGAAATAAATAATTTCTGTTTAAACAGTTAGTAGTACCAACAATTAAAATAATATTTAGCCTATATTCATATTCACCTTCTTTTATAACACTCACCAGTACAATATAAAAAAACCAAAACCAAAAAGAACACTTCTTATGTTTTTTTCTGTACTGAACCTTATTAATAAGCAAAAGTATAATGCATTGAGAGTGTCATGTAGGCCAAACCAAAAGTACTAAGTATTACTCCGTTTTGGCTGGCAGCAAGAAACACACGGAGGCTGATTTGTCATCTATTTCCTTAGCTAAGATTGTCTCCTTTCCCTTCCCTCGCCAATGGCTATGTGAAACACTTGAATCCTCTTCATTCCTGTGAACAACTTCACCTATGGAAGGGATGGTACTGCTTATCAAAAAAGACAATGCATAATGTAAACTGACCTTTTTTTGAGGGCTGATTTTTTTTAAAAAAGTGAACAGGATACAACTGGTGTAAATTATATATTTCTAATTTTGACTTACTAAAACTATTTAAAAATATGAACAGAGACCTGACACATGGGAATAAGAACATTGACTTATAAAAAAGAAGCAGAGCTGTGCAACACTTATTAATACCTTGCATTGTTTCATCTTGCAGTCAGTGGATCTGCTGTTGAAGTAAGACACTGGTGCGTGTAAGAGTGGTACAATGTTAATAAAGGAAACTTCACAGGCTTGGTGAGCCTAGTTCCTGTACACTTGCCTTCCATTACATTTTGTTTACTGCTATACCAAAACAAACCAGGAACACTCCATTAATTTCACTGAATTTTCCTGAAATATTTGACAATGAAAAAGCATCGAGGAAATTTATGTAGTTAGTGAAAACAATGTGTAGGAAAAAATCTCTATTGAGCAAGTCCTTTTAGGAAAAAAAGAGTCAAAATTTGTCCTTTTTTAGAGAGCTTGTTACATCCTTTTGTTTTGAGGAAAAAAAAGGCCAAGTGTGGCACTGTTGACATTTTCTTTTTTGTTAGATCAGTGCTTTTCAGTAAAACACTCTTACTGTTGGCATGGAACTATAAATCTGGAAGACGAAAATTGAGAGGGGAGTACAGTATTAACTCTACATGGCACATTTCACTTTAGACATCATATGTTAATGTTTCATTTATATAGTTCTTATTTTTAAATTTGTTACTTGACTTTAAAAGGAGATAAATATTCCCTCCAGCTACAGTGTCCAAGAACTAAGCAGTAATAGTAGTGTCCAAACAGAGTAACTCTTCCTTTACCCTCCTGCTTTCTAAGAGAATAAGGGAATAAGATGGTGTATGTTATCAAATATGGCAAAGGGAATGAACATGGCAGTGTTGTGCCTAAAAGGAAACAGAATTGATCGGCCTCCTGAAGCAGATCTAGAAGCTCTGTTAGGCATATGAGGGCAGCATGTTCTTGCTGCTTAAGACTACATCAATGGGACTTCCAGGCTCCATCAGTTAAAGTGGAGAATTCTCTCTCGAGAATGAGTAGAAAAGCGAAAGGCTTTACTTCTGTTTCATGGAGGAGATTTTTCTGTAAATAAAACCACACCTTTGTCTTCTTCCCTAATCCTTGTGGAGAATGTGCAAACAAACCAAGAACTGAAAGGACAATATTTACAATCATGCTCGTACGCTATAGCTCCTGGTTTTTTTGAAGCAGTGCTTCTGACAGTATGTTAGCAGCCTTCCAAATATTGTGAACCATATGAGCTCTTGCTTCTTCCTTCACAATGTGCTAAGCTCATGAGTTAAGTCTTTTGTTGATCATTCAAAAGGCATGTACCTGGGGCCAAAAATAGTCTGACTTGCCAAAATCCTGAATCCTATGTGTGAAACTGTTTCCCTTATGTATTTTGACCCAGTTTTGGAGGCAAAATATGACAGGTGACCTTTCGTGAAATAACCTGTGTTTCAGCTTCTTCAAGACTGTACCCGTAAGGGAAAAATGCCTGGCTCTACATGCTTTATAACACCCAGAAATAGCATTAGATATCCAAAGAGAAAAATCTTATGGCAAGAGAAATGCTGAAGTTTTGTGATACTTGGATAGTTACGGGCCATGAACTCCTGTGTAGGTAACATTTCTCCACTTTTGTAATACTGCAATCAATATCAATACACAGGACCTAGTGATATCACTACCTGATTAGAAGGTTATCTTGTATTTTGTATTTCCTTAAAAAATCATTCACTATAGCAAAGCTGTCGATAAAGACCCTCTGCGTATATAATTTTTCAATGGGACCCAGTCTAACAGTTTCTTCAGATAATGAAGAAAATCTCTATGACAATATTCAGGTGAGACAACTGCATGAAGGTATTGTAACAGTCTATTGGCCTACGTGGCATTTTCCAAAGCAAACATCTGTTCAAGGATTTTGTAACGTACTGGGGCACAAACCTCCCATTATCAATTTCATTGGGCAAATCCCTAAAAGAACAAAACGCAGGTACAGCATTTCCTTTCTACTTCAGTGATATGAGCTGCTACACATTTTTAACTCTCCCTGACATCAGTGGAAGATAAGGACAAGCTCTTTGTTATATGAGCTATTCTGCCCTGAGAAGATTGTACAACTTTGGCTAACACAGTATAAGCATAGCTGCTGTGGTGTTAAAAATAGAACTTGATGGTGAGTAGTTCCTTTTTTCTTAATATAGTGGGAGCTGGACAGCTAATTCCTTAAAACCCCTTTGAAAAAAGCTACCCTAAAATGGTAGAAAACTTAGTTGGCATTTTCACAAATAGGCACTACTTAATCTGCTATCATATGGGGTGTTATTTAAAGTCTACAGTGAAGAATATTTACCATCAGATTAAGGGCAATGAAGAAAGCATTTCTGAAAACCCGCTCTCACAAAGTTGGGAAATAGTAATCAGTGTATTACAGAGATCTCACAGTTTCAGCTCCCACAATGAAGTTAGGAACTTTCATTTGCATTTCTTGCCTTCCCAGAAATGTGTCCAGCTGCCTCTGGAATTAGAATTAATATTGATGTCAATAATTTCCTTTGCATAGAGACATATTTGCGTAAAATGACTAGACATTAATGGGTTTGGTCCCCACTTGATTTAAACTATGTTTTGCAATATAATGCTTTCCTTCTGCATCATTTTCTACATACCTTTGTGAGATCTCTTCTACTGAATTTTTATTTTTCTGCTATGTAGGCCAGCTCTGCTATTTCTGCTGTATAAGCATTGCTTTAAATGGGAGCATTGCTCTGATACCATTAATCATTTGGTTACTGTCTTCTGACCTTTTACAGTATCAACAGAGTATTCTGTAACATGTTGATCACAACTGTAACTAATATTTTAATAACATAATGCTAGCCATAAACACAATGAAATATCAGTATCATTCAGCTGTGTACCAAAGCAATGTTCCTGCAATCTGAAAGCAAGATCCAGCTCAGGATTCCTCTCTGTCTGTAACTTAAACGAAGATACTTTTTAATACTTAAAAGTACAGTGCTTCTTGATCAAGAAATCATCATGTCACAGAGGTACAGTGGAGGAGCTAGATGGCACTTGCCATGGCTTCCACCAGTGAATATGTTTATTTTTATTTATTTATTAGTTTATAAACTAGTCTGTCTTGATGCGGTATCTGGGACACTGTATATAATTTTGCAGAAAATTTAACTAAACTGAGCACAGTGCCCAGAAAATGCATTCGTTCCCTTAAACAAATAGCTCAAGAGGTCTAAAAATTAAAACTAATAAAAAAAAAGGAGGCAAATAATGGTCAGTGATGCATTGACCTGAATAGAAAAGACTTGCATTGAACCCTGAAGACACTGGTAACACATACCATAGCTTTCTTTTGCCTAAGGCAACAGCTTCTGCAGGTGGGCCAATTATTTTGTAGGGCACAGTAGTTCAGCGGGTAGCTATATGGCATATACCTAAGGGCTAATCCTGCTCCTACAGAAGTCAATGGTAAAAATCCATGGCCCAGAATCACAATTAGATGTTGCCATGCTGAGAGTTTCAGAGCTTAAAAATTAGTCACTAACCCTGGATCCACAGGGCTGATACAGGTGTGTGTGCTTATCTGTTGCCTAAGAATGGACTTATGCTCAGCAGGGCACTTGGCAGTGAAACTAGTCCTTAGAGAATACACCAGAGCAGGATGGATCTGTCTCTCTTTCAGATATAGTTACTGCCTGCAGCTCCGCAGAAAAAGTCCACAACCAGCATCAGGTTGGGCCTGGCCTAACTGTTAGGAATCCTTTTACTTGCTACCTCTTTGCTAGCATAAAGCTTTCATCCTGTTTCTGAACTGGTTCAAAGCAGCAAGGAGTGTTCCTGTGCAAGCTTTGCTCCATCTTGATGACTAGGACACTCATAGAAGTCAGAAAAGACATTTTTGATCTCCCCTTCTGGATGGGAAAAGCTTAAATCCCTGATCATGAAGAGTGCTATGCCTACTGGATTTCTACGTGAAAATCAGATGACCTTTCAACTTTGGTGACATTTTTGAATGAAAATGGCCAAGACCACTGCGTTGTGTGGTGCTCTGTGCAAATGCATGTGTGAGAATTTACTTTGACAGGCCCTGTTGGTAATCTAGGTGTGAAGATAACTTAGCTTGTGAAAGCTATAGACAGAGGCTAGGTGTTGAGCTGCTCAGCTTAACCAAGATGGCAATGTTACTGAGCACATGCAATGGCAGAACTCTACAAGTCTCAACAAGCTTCAATTATGTTCCTACAAAGCCAAGACAGCTAAAGAACTTAACGTGTTTCTGTGTATTACTGCTAGCACACTGTCTAAGACAACCTAAAAAGAGCCTTAGGTGCAAAGTCTCACAATGAATCTGATTCCCTGATTTTGCTGCGAATGGAGGTGGTTTCTCCAGCAGACATTATGACTGACTGCATCTCAAACTAAAAAAAACTTGGAATATATTGGTAGTGCCTTACAGATTTTGCAACAGGTTCATTTTGATTTTGTTTGTTTTTCAGGGCTCTTGCTGATGTTATGCGACCTCAAGGTCCTTGTACAACAGATCATATGGAAAGAGATCTAAACATTGTAGTACACGTGCAACATTATGAAAACATGGAGACGAGACCTCCTCCAAATAATTTACGTAAGTTGCATTATAACATTATCAATATCTGGAATGCTGGCACTAAAATGAACATTATGGAACACATATTGCTGGATGTCAAATGAAGATTGACAGTATGTGGGCAAATTAGAAATATTCTTTATTTCAGAATTAGAAATATTTAGGATTTCCTAGTGCAAATAGTGCAACACTAAGAGAAAGCCATTTTGAATAGAAAAATTAGTTTTTAAAAACTTA